GTAAGAACTGATATGATCAAATTGATTTAAGGCAAAATAGTTAGGGCAAAAACGACTTTTACCATGACTATTAACACATGTTAACTAAAAATAAACAGAGTTTATTAACTTCCGTTAACCAGATTCACGACATTAATGTCGATGTAGTATAGCCACTGAATTATGAAAGTTGTAGTATATAAAAGACAATGTTATATAGTTGGTGTAATAATCGGAAAGCCAAAAAAGTTTGTGTATTTTTTAAGCAAATTAAATTAAGTTGGTGTATTTTTTGAGAATTTCCCCCATCTTGATGAGTAAATGTTTATATACTTATAACTTAACTTCAATTGACAATAATTAGATTGGTTAACAACTTTTATCAATTACTTCATCTCATCATAATTTTTGATGTGCGATTTCTAATAGTAAATGGTTAATCTACATATCATTTGTATACGCTAGTTATTTTATTTTTGGTGATTTTGACAACATTGGAATAAAGGAATATCTAACGTGAATTATGAAAAGATCAAATTACATCGATCTTTTCTTTGATTTACACTCCATAGTAAATTTGATCTTTTCATATTACACAACATTTTAAACCATTTGAAAGAAAACAAATATTGTTAACGTAAATTTTTACAAAATTCCATACACAAATGTGATAAATTCTATTGTTTTTGATATAAACTCAGTCTAAAACACAACATTATTATAGTTTAATTGGAAAAAGAAATCGATATGTATTATTATATTAAATTACAACTTTGAAATCTATCTGAATGTTTTCAACCTCCAATTTTCGAAAATCGCTTTTGTTTCTACTAACATAAAATTTACCCCATTTATAGCCTTTGTATTTTGGATGATTTTTAGGACTCACAAGCTCTTCTAATGGCTTTACTTCTACATCATGTGAAGGCATCAAGAAAAATGGTATTGAGTATCTCTCTTTTGTTGTGTTCACCGCTACTCTATGCTCTGCACTCCAATACCTTTCATATGTCCATAATATTACAATAATTTTTTCAATGTTTCTTAATTAAAATCATAGTAAGTAAAAGAAATATTATCAACCACTACCTCCATAAAATTGTCATTGTTGATGACAATAGCATTAGGGACGGGTTTAATCGGAAACCAAACACCATCTGATCTTTGACTTGTAATCCTTCAACCTCATCTACGGCCAATATAGTCAAAACATTTGCATCAGTGTGGTGACCAACACCTAATGCTAGGTCAGGTCATGGACATGGCGGGTAGCGGTTTATCCTAATCAAACTCATTTGTTCGTTGAATTAGTCATGAAAACGTTCACTTGGTAAGCCTAAACTTAATGAGACGAGTTCTAAAAGCTTGAACGCAAGTTTTACCGCGTGTTTTGCATATTCTTCGTATGCCTCCCTAAAAGTTCCAGAAAGAACAAATAAAATTAGATTATACAACGTGTAATTTATTTGTAACTAATCATATTTAACTCAAAATCATGTAACCAAAAAGTTAGCTTAATTAGCCTCTTATATACGAATTCAAAATCATTTAAAGCCGAATCATATTAGATAGCTAGGTAAATATGGTTCAACTAATCAAATGAAATACCTGAAATCAGAAGGATACTGAGGCCACTTGTTGTAAACAAGTATTAAACCTTCATCTTCATGATCTGTTGAAGTATGAAGAACCATGAGATCTTTGAAATGCACATCAAACACTTCTTTCCAATCGCTAATGTTTTTTGTATGTTCCCATAATAATAACTCATCGGATCCACTTCGTCCCTCTTCGTTTTCATCTTTTCTTCTAAAGAAAGATTGAAAAAATTCTTCACAACTTTCTCCAGTCGCTGCTTTGCCTCGCAAGCACACCATGGTTGATCACTTGGAAAAATCCCATTTTTTCAGGCATCACCGATGTCTGAAATCACGTTTTGAGGGTTTTTTTGGATTTTCGAGATGTGAGAGATCGATTAGTGGTATTTCATCGGAGTCGCTGATGATGGAATTCGAGTTTGTTCTATGTTGTGGTGCTTGGATGAAAGTTGGATCAATATTCTTCATTGTTAGAAGTATGAGGCTAAGTTTAGTTTGGGAATGAGTTTATGTAGATGTGTATGTCAGTCCACTACAATTATTTCATTTGTTTTAAACACCCTATTGTAAAAGAGAAATGTAATTATTATGTACATGTCATCATTAGTGGTGAAAAAAAATCAAAACCAGGGAACACATGGACGTACAAATTACAAAAAGGTATTTATTTGAGAGGTGAAGAGAGGAGCACGAGTCCACGAGACATTATGTTTTAAATTTAGACGGAATCTTATGAACGATGTTGAATGTGAATTATGTAAA